AGAATATAATATTTGGGTTCAGAACTCATCTCAATTGTTACTCTTATAATGAAAAATTTCGTATGAATTCTAAATTTTCCAAAACAAAGTCTTTCTTAAAATAACTATATATAAATTCGTGTGCAATTACATAAATCTGTCGCCATATTTGATTTTTCTGTTTTAAAACCTCATGTTTTCGTTTGGAAAGGGGAGAGGGCGGTAGAGTGAAAACTTTAATCCTCGCTCCTTTTTATAATTTCTGCTAATGATTGCAATTGGCATTAAAGAATAGGGATGGGGCGACTCGATATAGCAATTTAATTTATAGCATACATAAATTATCTTAGTGACATATTTTTTTTACTTTTGTAATTTTTAAACTAAAATACAAAAAGAAAAAAGTATTGGTTTGTCCGATGGGCGGAAGGCGATTGCATGTATCGCCCCTCCCTCCTGGTACAACCCTTTTTCATTTTATATTTACTAATGATAAAATTTGAGATCAGAGTCTGTGTGCGACATAATATACAAATGGGTTAAAACATCAATATGTAGCTTATATTATATAGATATTCAACTAATTTTGTTCACAAACTATAATTTCTCCATAAATATATGACCGCCTCCCAAATCAGAGGGCTAGAGTGGGGAGGGCAGTAGATCGCGCCCCCACCTCACCGGATCGGCTAAGATACCAGAATTGTAGAGATATAATATAAAATTATGTAATTATATAGTAATTCAACTAATTTTCTTCACAAACGATGATTTCTATATAAAAGTTAGACCGCCCCCCCCCCACTCAAAGGATTAGGTGGGAAGGGCAGTAGATGTATTCGCCCCCCCCCCCCCACCCAATTGGCTAACAGGGAAACGACATAATATAAAGATCGGTTAAAATATCAATTAAAGGTTTTAATTATATATAGCTATATATTTAATTGATTCTGTTAACAATCTGTGATTTCTACAAATAAATTGGATGCCATCGCCACCTCCCCATCCCACCAAATCGGTCAACATGCTAGAGGGGGGTGAAATCGCCCCTACCCCCCCTGGATCCGCCATTGCGTGTTACGTTAGCTTTTTCATTTTAACCCGTTCTTCTAAGGTATTAACAGTTTCAGAACCTGCATTGCCAACTCGTTCTTTGTCCCTGACCTTTAATCTCAAGACCACGCCCAGTTATAGTGCTAATGCAAAATGTGCCCTGCATGTAGAAAGTAGGGCGGAAACTGTGGAGTTAGATCTTTGTTTAAAGTATATAGAGGATTCTACACAATAGGATGTCTGATTTCATGTATCGAATTCCTTTTAATAAAATTAATCTTCATAGCAAAATAACTATCAGTCTAAAGCTTTTTTTTAGTTAATTTTTTAACTTTAATAACCAATGAGAAATATTGTTAGCAGTTTAATGACTCTAGATCAATGAGAACGTCTATATTAATAACATAATGTGTGTGTGTGTTTGATAAAATCTTATTTCGTGGAGGGTTAGCCAATAGGTAGACATCTAGAGATCTATGACAGCCTCTCTGTCGACTACAGTTACAATGGAAACAAGCATTCCAAATTGATTTTTTGTTTGTTTACATTTCAATCTAGATCGAAGTTAATTCAAAACTGAAGGTTACTATGACTTACTAGAATGAAAACGTTCAGATATAAGTCTGTAATCTTACCGTGTTATTCTTAACACAATTGATACAACACAGATCTAGATTTAGTATATATCTATTTTTTAAATCCTCTAGGAAATGGAATAAAATCTTGGTCTGACTTTTAGCCTGGCACGATGTGCTGCTACCTGGCCTAATGCCAAGAACTCCATTCTTATCAGCTGCTGAGACACAGACTCTCTAACCCAGAGTGATTTATTTTCACTTCTTTATCTCACTTGTAACAATGTTATATTGCTAAAAATATAACATTTGTTACCATATAACATTTATATTACACTGTATACATTAAAACACTCTGAATACTATCTATCTATCTAGTATGCATTTTTTTTTACAAAGATAAGCCTTCACAGTACAAGTTTCAGACTCTAGCAAAGCCACACATTTAAATAAACAACCTGTACCTAGTTCAAATTTATCTTACAAAAAAAAATGTTCTTTATCCCCATTGTGTTGCCATAACTACAAGGTTCTTTTACTGTACTCTACTTCCCTCCACCTCTCTCCCGTTCTGTCTCTTGTTCTCTTCTTTGTTTTCCCCCATACACAGATGACGTCATTTGATATTTTAGTTCCGCTGTTTGTTCCTCTCCTACCTTTGTGTAACATACTTTCCAAATAAAATTCTCTCTTGACTGGGGAATATTATCACAAGAAACAAAACAAAAGTCAAACAGAGAAACACTACCGAAACAATGAAAGACTTGTTTATTAAACAGTCCAACGTTACTATCTTTGCACAACCCATCATTAAAAAAAATGGAACCATTAAAGTATTGCACGCGCTCCCAATAAAACACACACACATCTATCTATCACTTTATCTATCTATATATCTCTCTCTCTATCAATCTATCTGTCTATCTCTCTCTCTATCTATCTATTTCTCTCTCGCTATCTATCTATCTATATCTTTCTTTCTCTCTATATCTATCTATCTCTCTTTCTATCTACATATCTCTCTCTCTCTCTCTATCTATCCATCTATCTCTCTTTCTATCTATCTCTATCTCTTTATCTATCTATATCTCTTTCTATGTATCTATCTATCTCTCTATCTATCTATCTGTCTCTCTCTCTCTCTATCTATGCCTTTAATGAAATAAAAGGGTCTAAAAGTAGACCAGGTAAAAACAACATGTTTTTGTATTTTCCTCAGGCACAAAACATGAAAACGTAGACAACAAAATCAACGTGACATTTGAAGCTCATATCCGAGTTTTTTTGTATTTCATGATTTAATTACTAAATAAACAAAACAAAAAAAGAGTTCTTCTGTTGTTGTTTTTTCAGATCGGTGTATTTTTATTCTCTGTGACAGTCAAATGTTAAAATAGTGACCAAAGAAGTGTTGTTTTTTTTACAATAACTCTATTCAAGTCAAATTTTCCCCATGTGGCCAACGAGCTAGTAATTCTTTTCTCAGCGATATACACCAACTGTTAAATTTCTAGGAAAATCTTTAGAGCCGTTTTTGACATCCGCGAAACGCGTCCGAATTCCTGAAGGTTCCATGTCCATGAAGTTCTGACTTGAATAGAGGTTTTGTAAAAAAAAAATAACATGGCGCGCAGTCAGCCGTAGCTCGTTGTTTATTGCATTGAAAGTTGATCTCTTGTAAGAGTTGCTTATAGTTGTACCTAAGTCTACTAGAGATTGCATGTAGATTCTAAACTAAACCCAGGGAACAAATCAACGAGCGTGTTGACTGCTAGTCTTGAATAAATCTAAAAATAAAATTTCGAAAACATTTAAGTAAAAAATAAATTGGTCTAATAGACTAAGTAAAGCATTTTTTTTCCATTTTATTTCTGGGAAGATTAAAATTATATGATTTGTCTTCATTTTTATTTGCTACCATATTTTAATAGTTTGACTACCAGTTTAAAATGATTCATTAAAAATGAATAAACTACATGTACAACCATTCTAAAGAAATGTTATTTAAGGTGGGTGTTAGGTGATGCAAGTAAAATTTCAAAAGTGACATTTTGAAGTCAAAATTGCGAACATGACATTTGATGCATTCACACAAAAAAAAAAACATAAGGAAAGGAGGTAAAGACAAAAAAAAACCCAGACCAAACAACAAAATAACAACACGCTACTTTCAATCATTTACATTTAAAAAATTCGAATATTTATTTGAAACATTTTCCTCCCTTCTTTTTGGAACCCCATAGGACACAATTTTGTTCATGAAATTTGTGATAATAATAATAAAAATAACAACAATAATAAAATAATAATGTTATAATATTAAAAGTATTGATATCACAAAAAACAGACACGCTCAATAAATACCGGGCAGCGACCCTCTACAATCTTCACTACAACGCTGAGGTTGACTGAATAGGCGAAATCTTAATTAGCCTACAAATAATAAAATTGTCTGAGTTCACAGTTCAGGAAGTCACACCGACCTATATAAAACAAACTGGGAACTGGACTGCTCTTGGGTTTGACAATGTTTACAGCTTATGATTGAAGAAGCCATACATCATACATGTACCTTTAACATCAAAGTTTTAACGAGTTGCTATCACAGCCGTCATCAATGTTGACAGAACAAACTGAAGGAAGAAAATCTCTCCTCCCCCAAAAAGGTGATTCGAATCAACCATAGGACTACCGCCCGACCACTTGCGTGTTAGTTGTATATAAACAATTTCACAATTAAAATGTAATAACCCTGGAAATCTATATAATTAACCCAAGAATGAAGAGATTGTGTATGGGTAATGGGAAGATAAACCTACATCTTAATGGTGATAAATTAGGTTCTGTCCACATAAGAAGGGGTAATTATCTCCGCTCTGTTTTGTCTACCAATCAATCCTTTATCTAAATTGCTCCATGTTACTACAGACGATTTCAGGGTTGCCACTAGATGTACACAAACTGTTGTCTCACCTCTGTACATGGAGGATTGAAAAATATGATCAGAAACGGAACTAAAATTACGTCATTAATTAAAACCATATAACACTTCAGTGACGATATCTGTATGTCTTTCAATATAGGTAAGTGTGGTAAGCATTAAAAAGGGCAAAGCAGTCAATACTAACATTACATTGAAGGCATTGAGAAAGTGAACTCTGCTGCACTCTACAAATATCTGGAATTAACCAGAACGCCACAGTTAACTATAAAAAAAAAACTAAAGGCAAAGACTATCAAAAAGGCTCAACAGCAAATTGTCTGGAAAGAATGTCACCACTGCAATAAATAACTGGGCCGTCCCAGCATTCCTTTACACTTTGGATAAAAAAGGAGTGACACCGACCAACATGATAGTGGTAGACTCAAAAGAAAACTTTTAACAAACTTTCGCTGCCTACACCCCTAACCCTTCCACTATACGGTTATATCTGCATAACTACTAAGCCTTCCACTATACGGTTACATTTGCCTACACCCCCAAGTCTTCCAGCATACGGTTATATCTGCCTACACCCCCAAGTCTTCCACTATACGGTTATATCTGCCTACACCCCCAAGTCTTCCACTATACGGTTATATCTGCCTACACCCCAAGTCTTCCAGCATACGGTGATATCTGCCTACATCCCAAGTCTTCCAGCATACGGTTATATCTGCCTACACCCCAAGTCTTCCAGCATACGGTTTTATTTGCCTACACCCCCAAGTCTTCCACCATAGGGTTATATCTCCCTAGGTAGGAAGGAGGCCGTGGACTAGATTGTATAAACAAACTGTGTAAGACGCAAATATTCAAAATAATATCAAAATTCCACGCAATGAACTAATATGTTTCCTTAGCAAATACGACTCTGAGGCAACCCCAATGAATCAGAAAAAAAAAATTGATTTTGAAATTCGGGATATTTAGGGCGCCCCTGAGTCCACCCAACTCTAATAGGTACCCAACTTGAGTTTGGAAAAGTAAAGCCAATTGGTCGTTGTTCTGGCCACATGGCTCGTTAACCATTGGCCAAAGAAACAGACGACTATAACATCATCTGCCCTATAGATCGCAAGGTCTGAAAAGTGAAATTTACTTGACTAATATATTGGTTTAGATGACCTAGCTCATGAGATGATCGCCAATGGAAAAAAAAAACACTCCACGGACAATTTCTATTACAAGATTGACAAGTCTATTTCCTTGGTATGGCTTGAAGCAGGTCATCTCTACCTTGAAACAGAAGGCTTTGACCCAAAATTACAGGACCAAGCTATTAGAACTAAAAATAAAAAAAATGCTAAAACTCGATGTTGTTAACGAATGCCGATAGAGCGTGTAAGTCAATAGAACACTTAATGGCAAGATATTCAGCCGAATCTGCTTACCTAAGTAGCGAAACTAATACATCAACACCTGGCTGTGATACTAAATCTGATCAAGAAAGATACGCATCCTTACTACAAGTACTCCCCACAGGAGTCAATCTATTACCTATTGTACAGGGATAGAGCTAATTTTAATGACCCCAATGTTTTTGTTATTTGGCAAAAAAATATAAAAAAAATCCGCACCCATCATTGCCATCGCCGTACCACTTTCGAGATGAAACGACTATGGAAGAACACTACATTCTGTTTTTATATGAACGTAGAGGACAACTGAGCCCTAAGCACTATTAGGCATGCTGACCTGACAAGAAAATGTCTCAATGGACACTGTTAATGGGACTACAAGGAATTTCGTTTCCCTTTAACCAAAAGCTCGATATATATCGACCCCGGCTGTGCAAGAGAATGAACGTTAGTTCATTTCTAGGACAATAATAATAAGGTTTGTCTTCAAGTCTGATGATTATTGATGAGTGCAGTAGGCCATTTTGCCCTGTGTAACCATTGTCTGCCTTTGGAGGATACATCAATATCAAACCAGAAAGGAGACAATGGATTGAAATTCAATATTTACTCCATTTCAAACTCCAAGTAAAAAAATAGTTTTGTAATTTAATGTTTTACAGATAAGGCAATAATTGCCTTTTAATTTGAATGAAAAATGTTATATGAATAGCATCAAGCATTTCTTTCATCTTAGGAGGCTTGATTCAACAATACGAACAAATCTTTCAACGTGCATCTTTTGTTAAGCTAAGTCTAAAATTATCCTCCCACTTCCAGTTGGCAGTCACAGGGAAGTGCTTTCATTCACTTTCTTCATTCTGCTAGTCACCTGTTCTTTCAGCAAACCAAAGTCTGGTTTAGGAGACGAGGACCTGGAACTACTCGGAGAATTTCTGAATTCTGTATTTTCCATTTTTGGTGGTGCTGTCTTTATGGCGCCATATTTTTCCTCTAAGGCTTTCAGTCCATTTCTAATTGGTTCAAATATATTAGCAGTTATATCCAAAGAGCGGGGAACCCCAGACTCTGAGTTGTTCATGTGGTTAGTGTATATGATGTTACTGGACTTTGGCCCAAACAAATGTTCTAATGGGTTGCTCTCAAAGTCTACGTTCAGTTTTTGTAAGTGATGGTTCAATGTGTGATTTGCTTCATCTTTTGCTGATTTAAGGCATGACTTCTTGACTTGATGTGGACTACTTGTTTGAATCTCACTTTCTCTTTGAGTAAGTTTATAGTCTTGCATTGTGCTGATCAATGCAATGTCTACATTGGACACTTTATCACTTGGCGTTTTCATTTGAGTCACAGGATCAGTTTGCAAGGTCTTAGAATCAGTTGCACCGTTTTCATGTGTGTCTTCTGTCTGAGTGGAATCTTGACGAGTTCCTGCATCCAAGTGTTCTAGTTCTTCATTTTTGTTGTCTCTTTCTCTAGTGTCAGCACCAAGCGACATACTGACACACGATTTTTTATTGACACTGTCACCTCTGTCAACTTTTGCTTTATATGAGTGAGAATCTTCAATGCATGTTAGGTGTGAGTGACGTTCTAGGGACTGAAGACACAAGTTATGTTCTACTGGTACTTGAACCTTTTCTGCCATAGGCTCATCTGTATCATCATGGTTTGGTAATGACTTATAGAATCCATCTCTTCCAGTAAGGAAGTAGGTTTGCATTTTCCCTTTTCCCTTCACATCAATTTCTCCTCTATAGTCAATGTGATAGCCAGAGAAATTTTGAAGATTTTCTTTAGCAGAACAACTTAAGTGGATACGTAGCGCTGTGGAGACAACACAGAAAGTAGTTTAATGAAACACAAAAATAACTTTAATGGAACACAAAGATGAGTTTAATGGAACACAAAAATGAGTTTAATGGAACACAAAAATGAGTTTAATGAAACACAAAAATGAGTTTAATGAAACACAAAAATGAGTTTAATGAAGCACAAAAATGAGTTTAATGAAGCACAAAAATGAGTTTAATGGAACACAAAAATGAGTGTCATGAAACACAAAAATGAGTTTAATGAAGCACATTTCACTTCCTTGATCAACTGTAGATAATTCAGTGTAGGAGAGTAAAAATAAACTACATTTAGATCAAAGCCATTGGAGGTACTCTTTAATAATAAAATCTATTTTGTGGGTATTGTTAATAAATCTGTTAACTATAAGCATATATTTAATTATATGTCTTTATATTTTATCTTACGAAGTCCTGTTGATTCCATTCTTGAAGCAGTATTGACAGCATCCCCAAACAAACAATATCTTGGCATGGCAAGGCCAACAACTCCGGCTACAACTGGGCCAGTGTGAATACCGATTCTGAAAATTGAAATTGTTTATATAAAAAAGAAAATTTAAAAATTCCAATAGTGAACAAATGTAATACTACAAAACATTTAGTTTGTTATTTCTGTTTTAAATGTTTCTGAAAAACCAAGTAATAGTGCAAAGACTGTTATAGTTTAAAAAGGGGACATTTAACTGTCTAAACATAGAGATATTTAAGCCTAGCTTAGCCAATTGTTATGACGGGACATTATTTATGTCATTGTCAGATGGTAAGATAAGTGAATTCTTTGTGACCTTATTTTTAACTTCCTGTCTGGAAGGTGAGGGATGGTAAAGTTGACTGTTGATGCCAATAGTTCTAAAGCTACGTTGGCGATCTCCTTGATATGTTGAGCTCCATTTCTTGTAGGGAGACCACTGGCCAACATGTAGGCATCACCAATTGTTTCAACCTAAACAAATTAAATCTAGTTTTAGTTTTCATTGCAATATCTTTTTAAACGTTCAGTCAAAAACATTAAAATACTAGAACAAAAGCATTTTGGGTTGATATCAACAGAAGCCACGAAACAAACTAAAGTATCAGGGTGTTAACCAGAATAACAGTAGTTGGTTGTTTTCTTCTGATTATGTAAAAATGCAAACTTTGACCTTGTAAACGTCATATCCAGTAATGATATCATCAAAAAGAGTGTAGAGGCTGTTAAGTAAATTGACCACTTCAATGGGTGTGCTTTCTGAGCAGATCTTGGTGAAACCAACAATGTCTGAAAAGTAAATAGTCACGTGGTCAAACAGTTCAGCTTTCACTGGTTTACCAAGTTTGAGATCTTCTGCAACAGACCTGAACAAAACAAAATAAAAACGTTATGTATAAATACTCGAATAGATTGAAGATGTTCTCTACGTGCAAGAAACACATTGAAATGATGAAACTAATGACACTTCCTGTGGGACATATTTAGTCAACAAACTTTCTTTCACTGTTTCCTACATTGTAGTCAAATAATTTTAATCTAAATTATTGCTTGTAACATCGACTAAGTTAGTAGTAAATGTTTCTCAACATTTTGACGGTGGCGCCCTCCCCCCCCCCAATTATGAATAAAATGTGTTCGTTCCCCCCTTAGCTATATGGGGGTCTGGGGTAATACTGAAAGTTCCCATAAAGGGGTCAGGAGGGATGTCTTAGAATGTAATGAAAAAGAAAAGAAACTCAAAGACATATATCACAATTTTTCGGTATTTCTTTGTAAGAACATTTACAAAATGTTTGGAATTCAAAGTTACGTAATGATTGTTCATTAAAGGTAGTTCGTTTAGTCTCTTTTTGTTCGGAAATGGTAATTTGTTTTGAATTCTAGAAAAAAAAATCTTTCTGTATTTTATATTGTATCCAGCCAGCAAATGTATAACCCCTCGCCACCACATGTGGGGAAGCTTACAGTGCTCTCAAAGCGTAGCCCAGGCGCCAAGCATTTTCCAGCCTTCTGAGCTTCAAAATTCATCAAAATACTAAGATTGTGCTAAGTACCACTAGCAGATCCAGAACTTTTTAGTAAGTGGGTCTATTTTTGCCCAAACCCTAACCTCATGTATAACCCCTCCCACCACAAATACATGTATAACCCCTCCCACCACAAATACATGTATAACCCCTCCCGCCACAAATACATGTATAACCCCTCCCACCACTAATACATGTATAACCCCTCCCACCACAAAATACATGTATAACCCCTCGCACCACAAATACATGTATAACCCCTCCCACCACAAATACATGTAGAAGTAAAATTAAAAAAAGGTGGGGGCACTGGCACTGATATGTGTGACAATCGAGGCACGTCATAGGCGTGGCTACAATGTGCGGGTTGCACAGTGTTGATGGACAACAAACTTTCCCCCCAGTATGTATTTAGTTCCTTTTCCACTGAACTTTTCAGTAAATACTACAAACGGCTCATAGACTACTAGTAG